CAGGATCGTCATGAGACGTGATCAAGCTCACAAGACCGCTACCAATCACTCGCTGATCATAAAACAGATGGAGAAGAACAACATATTCAACTCCTAGACTTAGCCAACGAGAAACCAAAGAAGGAAACATGCTCCGAATAAAATAAATAATAGAACAAGATATTAATAAAATGGCGAAAACAAAACATTTTTTTCATTTTGAAAGAAATATATCCTCTAGCTGTACATCACTTGGTTGTAAGTGTACGCGTGTCGACGACGTAGTGATTTTCTACTTCAACGGAGACTTCCGTCGACGGCCGCAGCAAAATCTCAGTGGTGTATTGCAGAAACGGGACCGTATGACGACCTTCCGGAAGGCACAGCAGGATCACCAAAACTTGAGGGATGGATTTCCACCGTCAGTAGAACCAACAATCAATACGAAACTAACGATTTTAAATTGGCTCACTACTTGACTAGCCTATTGGTCCCAAGCAAACGAACAACGTACCCCATTCTAGTCAGCATTCTAGTACTACACTATGTTTGTTTTGATTCGCTATGAAAGTTTGACAGATAAAATGAGGGGTTAGTGGATTTTCCTATGTTTCGAGGGGTGTATCGATTAGCTTGGGACCGAATATAGTACTAGAGCTGAGCCAAAAAGTTGAGCTCGTTTCTTCGGGACCTTCTAGTCTTAGAGTTATCTCTGTGGTAGAACGGCACAGTGGTAATTCAGAGCTCGGTTTGCAGTTTCATCTAACGGCAGTTTGTCAAGCGATGGGAATTTCGACGAGTATCGACGTATTTTGAGTACTCAGGCAGGCAGATCGAGTTTTTCCACCATATCAAGCCGGACAATCATATAAGATATATAAGTGTCTCCAGGTTTCGCTGAGTAATTGAGTTCTTTCAACATGTGTTCTTTTATTGTTGTTTTGTATGACAGCAGCTTTTCGGCTTCGCATGAAGGTGCACCTTCAAATGTTACTATGATGTGAAAAGTGCGAAAGCAAATGACAGTGATCTTGCCCTCTGAGCAATGTGAGTTACTCAAGGTACCTCAAAATCAATTCAGAAATTATACAATTTGAGCTGTCTTGCCCCTTGGATGGAATAAACTTTCAGTGAATACTTAAAGAGATAAAAAAAAACATAAAATTAAAAAACAATCCAACAACAAACTTCTGGATTGGAATGTAGCAAAGTTCAAGGGGCTTCCAGAAAGAATATTTCCACCCCAATGTTCTTGTTTTAGAAGAATTCAGCGAAGAATTTTGTTGATGGAACTGGTTCTAAAACTGGAAATGTTTGAGAAAAATCCAACTAAATCCTGTTCAGCGTTTTAGCGAATTTTAAAGGTAGTTAGACACATCTGATGAAGGCCTTACCAAATTCATTATCGAGGAAAAATGCTACGTATGTAAGTCTTAGAAACCTATTGATCTTTCCGGCTCAATTGCATTCGGTTTTATGCTCGTATGCACTGAATAAAATGGACTGATTTCAGCGATTTTTCATGCGATTACCCTGCCACCTGGTGGTGAATCCAATCACCACCAATCGCTAATCATAGCAACCCTGTTGTATAAAGAAAAAAAAAATTGACGGCGTTATCAGTTGATTTGCAGCAGCCATGGCGAAAATCTAGGGGCAAGCCAGCTGTACTCAAAGTTAATATTTTTCCTACGAGTAAATTTGAGTAACTCATAATTACTTAAGAATGATCAAAGAAGTCTGGCCTTATGTATATTCATCAACAAATACAAACCACAGTGTGAATAAACATTATGTGTCAGAGGAGGAGGAGAACCAGAATTATTTTATTATATTCTTGATACAAATCCTTATTTAATCACATGAATTCATTCACAGCATGAAATCTAAGAATTTTGCTTTGAAGGGAAATAAGGTAAAAATGCCATATCCGAAGATGGCCTAACATGAAAAATGTATCCGTATCACCCAGCTAGACGTAATTTATGAGGCCTTCATGTGCTTGGCAAATCAGAGGTTCTGCACATCTACAATTGCAAATTTCATCATCTCAAATAGGAATGAATAAGTTGAGAATTCAAGATGGATGGGAGCTTGATTTGGTTTTATGGAAACTTAAAATTTTAAATATGGCTATACGATGACAATGTATTGCTTTCTATTAATCTCGGGTCGCAATTAGTGGCAATTAGAAATGCTTGTAGTTATTTTTTCTGAAAATCATGACAACCACCAACCAAATGGATTATTTTTCTATACTTCTCTGAATGCCCAAGTGTTAGTGCAGAACTATGAGGTTACTGCCTCAAAGTTCTGCACTAGTTCTTGGGCATTCAGACAAAAGTTAGAGAATACTATTTCAAAGTAGTAGTCGTAACTTTGATGCCTTTCGAATATTGAAACTGTGGTCAATTTACTTAAATTTTTCATATTTTGAATTTGCAAATGCTATGGTCAACGTCAACCGATAAAAACCTGCCCTAGATTTGGATGAAAATGGCTTACAAAGGAATGGCTCGAAGCAGTAGAAAGGTTATGGGATCTATCCATGGATGATTATCCAGTGTAAACCACCATTTTCTCTCTTTATTTATACAGCTTTTCCACTTAGATGCTCACATTCATCAGGATTCACTTTTCGACCATGGGAAGCTGCATAATTTAGGAATATTTATCACCATTGAACGTCTTTCTTTGACAGTTGGGGAATAAACACAACCAGGATGCTGAGTTATCGTGCATCGCTTGTTGAGCAACTCGAGTTACTCAGAGTTGCTCAAAATTAACTCAAATTTTACTCATGATCAAAAGCTGTCTTGCCCCCAGGCGAAAACAGTCAAGCAACTACGCTCGATGATTTGTTCGTATTGCCAGCTCCACCTCGGAGCGAAGAAGATGGAGATCGTGAGGCACTTCGTGTCCGCCGGATATAACCGATCCAGCATTTACAACATCCTCTCCCTTATAGAGAAAGGCGGGAGTGTCAAACGGAAGCCTGGCAAAGTGCAGTAGAATCTGGAAAGGAAGACCGGGGAAAGGTAGCTTCATCGTTCCGCATCTTGGGCTGGGAGGTCGGAGCTACTGGCCAAACTCTCAAACGGCGAAGAAATACCTGGACAAGATGGACATTTTTATGCAGAAGCGTCAGTCGAGACCGGCCGTGTCTGAGCAGCAGGCAATCACCCAGAAGGAGCAGCTGATGGCTGGTAAAAAAAAATAAAAAAAAAACGACTGGAGATAAACGTTGTGCCAAAGACCGCCAACCTTCCCAACATCTCCCAGCTGCGACCGGTAGCAAAATTTTAAGCGAACCTCAAACGGAGGATCTATTCCAATAATTTCGTGGCCAAAACGGAGGAGCAACTGATCGCCAAGGCCACGAAACAGTAGAAGAACATGTCGACATCCATCTTTTCATCAGTCGTGGCTAAGGTTCCAGCCAACTGCCGCATGGCTGCCCGGCAGGGCGTCGAACCATATTTTTAAAAGGCCTAATAAACGAAGGATTTAAAGAAAATTTGTCCCATGGAATTACCTTTAGTAGTTTTTACGTTATACGTTATAGCACAATCAGGAAGATGCCCAAAATTGCTTGAAAAACGGGAAAAACCGGGAAATTGCTAATCGTTTTCACTTGTGAACATAATTACTAAAAAAAATATCTTTCGTCCCTCCATTCTTAGGGCATTAAGGGGGCGATTTACATCATTTACATCTTACATATTTTTTTCGGAATTAATCATAAATCAATTTGGCAGTCAGCCCTCATAATATTTTTTTTTCACATTAAATATATTGGGGAAATGGCTCTAATGTTGGCCTATGGATCTAAGATTGGGCCCATCGCTAAATATCTGCGATTTATCAATTGTATCTAGATGAACTCGTCATTGGAACGGTGCTAATGGATGTTTTTAGTCGCTATTGAAAATTTAGTCGATTGCTGAATTCGTGTATGGGCCCAAATTAGAGGCATTTAGGCCGACATTACATCCATTTCCCCTACATGCAAAGATAACACAAATCCATTAAATTGTGCACGGGAAAAGGTTTGCGATAAAACTAAAACTTGTGAAATAAAGTGAGATGCCTAATTTCACAATAAGTTTCATTCGAATTCTCCTTTAAACCTAAAAATCTCACATTTCCCACAATGATTATGCCTCAAACAATAATTAAATTTTCTCAGGATTCCGCAAAAAACTAACATATTGAAATAATTCCTTGTGTTTAGTTTGCATTTTGTACGTGTGGGTTTTTTATGTTTGTTTTCAAGATGAATAGAAATAAGTTCAAGATTAATATAATATTTGTATCGTAAACAACATTTCAAACCTCTTTCTCCCTTTTCCCATCCAAAAAAATTATAAATCTCCACTAACCTCGAGATAACCGCGAGTATCTGGTTCTGCTTCTTTAACTTAAAATTTGAGACATCAATAATGTATAACAAAAATGATACCTCGGCTCTGTAAAGTTTATTCGATTGAGCCTGTACAAATAAAGTAATTAATAAAAAAAAATATTTCCCTTGGAAATTTTATCTATAACTAGTTTGTAAATTTTTTACCGGTAAGTAAGTAAGTAAGTAATAGGTAGTAAGTTAAGTAACAGTATGAAGTAATCCCCCGAATGGTGTATGTGTTTTTAGCTAGGGCCTGCCCCCAGCCCAACATCTTAGTGACACCTATGGAAAAAACCGCAATCAAGTTGCCGTCCAATGTGCATTCATGTGGCCCTGTTAAATAAACGAATTTGAAAAGCAAACTTTCAGGCACTCTCTATATAATGGAAATGTCTTATCTTATTCGAAAATTGCATTCGATTGAATCAAATTAATTTAGTTGTGCTTTGTTTTTTTTTTAAGATGAATAAACCTCTTTATAAACGAATAAGCCTTTAAGCTTTCAGTACTGAGCAGGAAGTCAACTACATATTTCTTTCGTCATACCACCCCCTAATGCTAGTATACAAATTCAATATCAATAGCTTGATGAATCCTGTATAATTTAAATTCTTACCTGTTCCACCGGTGGCTGCCTTATTTGGCGAAGCTGCCGCTCCGGCCGACTTTTGCTGCAGCGCAGGACTAGCAAGTTTGCTTGCGGCCTTTTCCACATCGCCACCTTTGCTGGCGACAGCAGTTTTATCGCAATCCTCAGCCATGTCTCCTATTGTGTTAGCTTGACCCTCCGAGCACTCACTGAACTAACTCTGTTCTACTAGGTTGGTCGATGAAACTTTTGCTTTACACTACCGAATAAAATGAGCTTTCAGTTCACAACAATTGAATCACGTTCACGCGCTATACTTTAAACTTATGTAGTTTCAATCGAGCAGGACGAATTTTTACGACTGCATCACGATATAAAATTGTGATGAGTTTTCAGTTGTGCGCTTTAATTTCAGTTGTTAATCGGAGTCAATCGACGTCACTTCCGTTACGTAGAGATTGCAGGTGCTTAACTAATCAAAACATTCAAAACACCAATTTTCCCGAGCAAAAAGTTTTCAAATCAACATCACTTTTCTTTCATCCGTGCTCAACCGACGACACCTGTTCCGAATCAAAATTGCATTGCTTTCATTCTCTTGAAAACTTCTCCAGCTGCTCCGGTTGCTTCGTCGCTTCTCCGCTTGCACACACTATCACACACTATCCAAGTTCGTTCGGATCCCTTTCTTCTACTGCTCCACTACCTTCAAGTTTGTCGAGAGTCGGAAACAACAGCTGGGTCTCCCCTCGGCTGGCACAATCCAGTTCACAGCAGCAGATGAGTTATCAAAATCAATTTTCCATCTTCACACACTCATACTCTCGATTTCGTCTTCGACGGGGGCACACTGAAAATTTTCGCACCGTTCACCGTTCCGCAGAAAATTGCTATTGACAAACCTAATAACGGGGGAGACGAAACTACAGAAATTGAACTCGAGATTCTTTCGCAAGACGAGATATTAATAATACTCCTTCATGACCATGTTTTCTTTTCGGCTTCGCTGCTTTGCCACCGCTTCCGATATGGATGGTGTTCTGTTTTGGCACTCGAAAGTCTATTTGGCGACCACTCTGACCGTCTGACGCGGTTTGGAAGAGGATTCTCCCAGACACTGCTTGAGAACCACGCTGACCCTCTTTCAAAAAAACCCCGGACACACCGCTGTCTTTCACCCCCCATCGTTCGTCATCGGTTTCGATCATGTATTCGTCAATCCCCAAACACTTGACCGACCCGACCCGATGCTGCGATGTGTGGACCGTAATAATTGGTTTGGCAAGTGTTTTGGTTCGCTTTCCGGAGTGACGTAGATAAGGTATGCGGTACCTCCCCACCATCCGTCATCCACAGTGACCACCTTTTGACGGTTGACGTTGTCGCATGATGGTCACTGTGCTCTCAGCGGGCAGGTGATGAACTTGCATCGCAACTATCGACGACGACGACGACGACGACGGTTCTGACACCTAGCGCTTGGAGATGACGGATGGAGACGGATGATGATGATGGTCGGTCGCACCGAGTGTATAGATTGATGCAACGGATGGACGCGCACCACCTACCGTTTGCATTCGTTCGTATGGATGCAACGGGAGGGCGACCTTGACGGGTGTTTGTCGAATAAATCCGAACACGACAGCGGGGACAGCGTGATTCTCAATTTTTAAATCAGATCATTTTTTGGCGGGTTTCTTTTTGAGCACACATATTTTGGCAAGCAGTTCGCAGTTTATGGTCATGACACAGTTTATTCTTCGGAACGCATTCGTGGCGTTCGACGGGAGGAAGCGAAGATATCAGCGATTGAGTGTTCGAGTTTTGCAGGTACGGTGAAAAAGATGAAAGAAGTTCACTCCGAGGCGTCAGTTTTTGCATTGCTAATAACAGATGGGTTATTAGGGTTTTTTATCTAATTTCCATCCTACTAAGCACAACCCGTGCTTTACCTCTCTTTTCTGAACGAGTTCAAACAAAAAATGGAATATTTCTGTCAAAGATGACTTCTAAATTTATTCACCTTTCCATACGTATCGTTGGATTTGATAAAGATTCACAAATTGTTGCGATATTGCTTAAAACCTAATACTGCTTCTGAATGGATCATTTTAGATGGCTGAGTTTTGAACCCACCACAGCTTTCATTTGGCGCTACTGTATACGGACGAACCAATGTAAAATACTGTGGTAGCCACAGTACGGTGCTGTCAAAACCTCAGCATCTTCAATGATCCATTCTAAATTCGTTCTACGAGTTTCAATTCCGCCCTAACGCATTGTAACGCCATTAGATTTTCTTCCTCCTACGGATAAACGTAGAAAAAGGGGATTCGCTAGGAGCGCTTCTTTTGTTTTGAGAATAATGAGCGTAAATATTCATACAATGTGCTTTAACAGGATTTATGTTGTAGTTAATGAACTAACGCATCGGAACAAACCTATTATTGATTTGTGCACGGTGAAATCATTGTTATTATTGATCTTTTCTGATCTATAGAACGGACATAGGCGATTACGACGAAGTAGCGCTCTACCCTAACAGTTTGAGAGTTAAATCTCACATAGAATAAATGTTTTCCTTTTAATTCAAGGAATATCTAGATTGATCCTAAAACCATAGACAAACAGACGTATCGAAAAAAAAGCTCACTTGCCTAGTCTTAAAAAATGCTGCATACAAGTTCGATAGAAAGTAGAGAAATGTCAAAGTGATTCCTTGTCAGCGCTGCGGTGGGGGTTCGCAAAACTAATAATACTTAAATTGAACGTTAAATGCGTGTACGACGTTTGAGGAGAAAGAGTTACGTCTGTTTTTCTGTGGTAAAATGTTCTCACAGTTTTTCATGATTTTTTTTTATGATTGATAAAAGATTTAGATTAGGGGAACATCCATGACCATATGACGTAATATATTTACCAATTTAAGACCCCTCTCTTCCCTCCTCGTAGCTTATTTTGTCATACCTTATCGATGGCCGGTAGACGGATGCAAAAATCCACAGTACTCAAACGGTTCCTTATTCCCGAGCAAAGGATTGTACCAAATTGATAACAATTTCTGATACCCGGTTATCAAAATTTGATAACTGACCATGTTATCTTTGTGGTTGAATAAACAGCCAACATTACGCAAATTATAACAAAATAATACTACTGATTTAGTTACCATTGAAAACATCTTGATAACAAATCTTGTGATCTTTGCCAATTTTTGACGTAGAACTACGTCTGTGATTTCTATATGGGGGTACACTTTGTGAAAACCGTAAATGGAACATGAAACAAAATTTTGAAAGATTTTGAACGTTAATAACTCAGCTGCCCCTGGTCCAATTTCAATAATTTTATCACCAATCGATCAGAAATATGGCTACGCATCGACAATGCTTCCGAATGTTGATTTTCAACAAGAAACTATTGAAAAAGTTATAAATGTCCAGCATTGTCCAAAAGCGTCGAATTAACTAATAAATCGACCAATCACGTACATGCTTATGCTGCTTTTCCAAGTCAGTTATCAGAGAATTATTCCTAGAAGAAACATGACGATGTAACATTACGGCGAGGCTCGGTAGTTCAGTGGTTACCGTTTCTGCTTACTGAGCAGAAGATCGGGGTTCAATCCCAGGCCCGTCCCCATCCTTGCAATTTTTCACTTTGCCTTATCCCATCCCCACTAGATTTAAATAAAAAACAAATTCTGCTTTAACCGATCGCATCACTTACCACATGAATCCTGATCTTAAAATAACCTACCTCACTAACACAACTATCTTTCCCGAGACAGCCGTGGAGATGTTGAGGAATTCTCGGTCTCTAGTAACAACCGCACTGTGCAAGTTGATTAGTTCTGAGCATTCACGGAGGAGCAGCTAAGAAGGTCGGATAACATTAACTCGACGGCCAACATTCATTGATATCATTGTTGTTGTGGATGATAGAAGAAAATAGAAGAAAATAGCAGAAATAGTGCGAAATAGGTAAGTGAAGCCATGGTGATCACAAAAGAGGAAATCGATAGAGAATTTGCTTTCATCCTTCTGTTTCTAAACCCCTTACAGTCGTCGTCACAGCAATGAAAACTAGCATCGCACCGCTTTTGGTTCTAGGGCACTTGCTGGTTGCAATTTTAAGATCAGGATTCATTGTGATGCGATCAGTGAAAGCAGCAGAAATCTCCTTCCCAACTCTCTTGTGGAATCTTTGAATGGCTCTGAAAAAGGGCCAGTTTTGTTAGATTTCGACGCGACGGAGACATTAAGAGCGTTCACCACGAATACGACGAGCCTGCTGAATGTCCTTTGGCATAATTGTGACACGCTTGACGTGGATGGCGCACAGGTTGGTATCTTCAAACAGACCGACCAGATAGGCCTCTCTGGATTCCTGCAACGGCCGAGCTCTGGAAGCGCAGATCGGTCTTGAAGTCCTGGGCGATTTCAGGAGAAGCCTTTCCTCCGGTGGACTTACGAGCGGTCTGCTTGGTACAAGCCATTGTGCTTAGTTACGGTGCAGTTACGATGAATCGAACACGCTTTCTCCTCTGTTTTATTCCATATTTTTGTAATGTTCAATCAATCATAAACGATGAAAGAACAAAAATGCAACAACTTGCAAGAAGAGTTTAACCTTCGAGTAGGTATAAAAGAGGTATTCATGGTCAAAATAAGCATCATTCTTTCTTAGACCGTCAAGCAGGTCAGTGTTGAGCTCGCTCTCTAGAGTTAAATGGAAAGTTTTTCGCATCCATTTCTTGTCAACCGTACCCGAAGGCAGCTTAAACAGCATAAACATTGCCTGGACGTGGCAAGGGAGGTAAAGGACTCGGCGAAGGAGGAGCCAAGCTTCATCGTAAGGTGTTGCATGATAACTTACAGGGTATTTCCAAGACTGTCGTTGCGTATCTTTGGTCTGATCTACGAGGAAACCCGAGGTGTTGCTGGAAAACGTCATTCGTGACCTACTCTGAAGACGCCAAGCGTACGCTCTGAAGCGCCAGGGACGCACCCTGTATGGTTTCGGATGTTAAGCTTCGTTCATTTTCCCTATCTGAAACGGCCCTATTCAGGGCCAATAACTTATTTCAAAAGAGATGGTTTAAGAGTTCTACTAAACTTGGCATGAATGAAATTCCTGGAACCAGCAAAATGGTAGCAACCAAGCTTCTAATCCTGAAGCAACTGGCCCGACTCTCTGAGTGCCCATTTCTCGTAGCGAAGCTCGCTGCCTTTCCAACCACCGGGTCAGTAGCAGTAAAAAGTTGTATTTATGGTTAATCATATCATATAGTTAACACAAAACTGCAGGACTGCCTATTCTTTGCTGCATACAGCATAAATATTTACGTTTTTTTTTTGACAAAACTCAGGTAATCATTACAGATTCTGACGCGTTGTTTTCAAAGATCTAAAAGTCATGAATAACTGAGATTTGTCAATGATGTAAATATTTACACGTAATGCATTGCAGAATTACATTGAGAAGATAGAAATTCAAATTAACTCTAAGGCCAGAACATTTTTGTGACCCTGAAAAGGGCCGTTTGATTTGTCAGATGAGTTCTGATGAACGGAGCATGACTTTGCTGTTGGCTCACACTCTGGTACGGTGCAGATTGGCAACGATGATAAATGCCCTGAGATAAAAGCCTACAATTCGAAAAGTGGCAAAATTGAGCGATGGTTTAAAGTGTAAGAGTTATACTTTTTACTGACAAGGCGAACGTTGCGAACGAAAATTAAGTTCCCGCATCATCCACCAACACTAGTTGCCTCCGAAGAATTTGAAGCCATGTCCAGGTCCATGTTAAAATTACCCAGCACAATCATTGGCATGGGCTCCAGGCAATATTTCGTCAGATTCCGCGCACAAAAGTATTGCTTCTGCTTGTACGTCAAAT